TGTCAGTTGTAGCGCAGAGTATATACAAATCGTACAGTATTGCTAAATTTCAAGGCGGGGTGATAATTCTAGTCTGTTTGATAACTTGTGCACTTAATTTATGGAGAAGATGATGAGTGATTGATTTTCAGGTTCCCGAGCGGCCTTTTTTTGTGTTCTGTACAAATCGAGCTCAATCTTTATATTTGGTAACCGTTTTTCCCTATTCGATTCATAAATTTTTTTATTCACCCATTTTACCTCTATTTTATAGAAGCTTTCGCGTCTTTCTTACAATAACTGCTTGCATTCATCTTTGTTCTGCAGGGGAAGTCGTATTTCGGTTTCTCCCTTTTGGTATCATCAGTCATACGACTAGAATATCAAACAAGACAAGCTTCTTGTGTCAAAGGTTAGTAGTAATAAAATAAATTTAGAAACAATCTCTCCCGCGTTACAAGACTGAAATGTTTTGCACTGGACATTCAAAGCCAGAGGATTTAACCTCCAAATAATCTTAGATTTTGGCAAAAATTTGTTGCTTAAAACTTGACTTTAACTTCACATAGTCTGCAAAATAAAACGAGGAACTCAATTTTAGGCCATTAACTTCCATGATCTTACTAAGTTTCCTTTGCAAATGTAACGAATATCTCAGGCGGGAAATATTTTTAGAGAATGAAGTGTTGCGTCTCCTCATAAAATCTATGTTGGACCGGCTCTTCTAATGTTGTTTTCTTGGCCTTCATAAGTAGATTACCGTTTCTCAGTGTCAGTTAAAACGCAAAGTGTGCACAAATCGCACCGTATTGCTAAATTTCAAATGAATTGGAGGCGGGGAAATCTAGTCTGTTTGATAATTGAACCCTGTGTGCTTAATTTATGGAGAGGATGATGAGCGATTGATTTTCAAGTTCCTGAACGGTCTCTTTTTGTGTTCTTTACAAATCGAGCTCAATCTTTTTAAGAGGTAACCGTTTTTCCCTCTTCGGTTCATCAATTTTTTTCACCCATTTCACTTCTATTTTACGGAAGGTTTCACGTATTTCTTACAATAGCTATTTTCAAGGGAAGTCTTATTTCGGTTTCTTGCTTTTTCTTTCATCAGTCATACGACTAGAATATCAAACATAACAAGCTTCTTGTGTAAAAGATTAGTAGTAAAAAAATAATTTCGAAACAATCTCTCCCGCTTTACAAAACTGAAATGTTTTGCGCTGGACATTCAAAGCCAGAGGATTTAATCTCCAAATAATCTTAGATTTTAGCAAAGACTTTTTGCTTTAATCTTGACTTCAATAAAATCTCCGTTTGGACCGGCTCTTTTAATGTTGTTTCCTTGGTCTTCATAAGTAGCTTAACGTTTTTCAGTGTCAGTTAAAACATAGAGTATACACAAATCGCACAGTATTGCTAAATTTCAAATTAATTCGAGGCGGGGAAATCTAGTCTGTTTGATAATTGAATCCTGTGTGCCTAATTTGTGGAGAGGATGGTGAGCGATTGATTTTCAGGTTCCTGAACGGCCTTTGCAAGTCTCCTGTGCAAATATAACAAATATCTCAGTAAATATTTTTAGAGAATAAAGTGTTGCGTCCATTTGACGTGTCAAGAAAAGCTGATCAGCTTAGCTTACAGCAGGCTTTGTTAAACGATCAACAATGACCGTATATGGCTACTTTGGAACAATGGCGGAAACAACTTCAAAATATACGCGGGATTTTTCAAAATTTCCGATTATCATACGTGCGGCAGATTTAAACCATCGGCAAAACTGACGATAAGACAAATCCTCCCCGTGGGGGTGATTCTGGTAGATTTTTTAGGATGCAAATATTCATCGTGGGGTGGATGGTGGGGCGACTGTAGCTTTCTTCTCTGAAGTAAAGAGATATCTCTCTGTTTTTTTCTTCCTTTATATTGCTTAAAACTGGCGTAAGATATATTCAATTAGAGGCTCAGTGTGCGATACAAAGGTAATGAGAGCATGTGTAACCTGTTATTAACGTCCGAAGCCTACCGCGCTGTTGAATCATGTAGAAGACTATCGTCATTTGCTCGATTGTTTAATGTGCGTGAATTAAAATTCCGCGCTGTGTGAATAAAATTTTGTTCCTGATGTGCACAAAAAGGTTCATATTCTCCTTCCTCTTGCGTGTGACACCGTCCAGCTGATAAGTTCCTTTATTCTCCAAAACTGTTGGCTGAAGAATATATTGATACTGTAGGGAGAAATTGCACGTTAAACAATCCTTTGGTGTCATAGTCTGGGAGTGAAAGAGTAAGCAGATACGCGATGAATGAACCGGAAAATCAGATTCTTAAATCTGAAATATTTAAAGAAAAAGAACATGACCATGTCACGTTTTTTTATTTAAATTACGGGAAACTTAGAAAGCGACGTAGTTCTGTTTTAGGTTTTCTAAACGATTCTTAGTTTCACCGATGAAGCTGTTACCTTTTTTCACTCTTGTCAGATTGTCATTCATCTCTGTTTTGCAAGGAAAGCATTATTTCAGTTTTTAACTCTCGGCTTCCTCAGTCATTCGATCAGAGTACGAAACAAGATAAAACTCTTTGTTCAAGAGTAAGCAGTAAAAATAAAGAAAATATTAGTTTACAGTCCCATCTCTCTCTCTCTTTTTTTTTATTTAAAAAATGTTTTCGGTGCCCGCTCAAATCAGGCGCAACAGAAATTTTGAATTCAAGGACAGCGATTTTTGATGTGGAAAGAAAAGCGCTTCAACGTTTTTTCAGCGACGCTATGAGAGAAACAGAAAGTCATATGGATATATCTAACACCAAGAGGTTTTCAACTGCAGTTTATAGTTTCTTGCCTTAGACCGATCAAACTTAGCACTTTGTTCTCACACGACCTTCATGTATTTATCTCTGTTTCTCGCCACTTTTGGTCTCATCACCCAAACAAAGCGTATTTATTTTTGAAAGGGTTACCAGCAAAAAAAATAGATTTAGTAATAGTTATTCTTTTTCCACTTCGAAAAAAATATATTTCTGGTTCAGTAAATGTAGCAAATTCAGTGATAAGAAAGAGTTGTAATTCCAAACAATCTAATAGTATTTGTGGAGAGCATACAAATTGGAATAAAGTTTTGATTTGGACTGCAAAATAATAATTTAACTTTTAAATTTATGATCTTATCAGCAACTCTTCCTTCTAGCTCCCTCACATTACCTTGCTTGTCAGTAGGGAGAATTTAATGTTGTAGAAAGAAAAAACCCTCAGCTGATAAGTATTCTCGTCTCTTGTTCACCGAATGATATATTGATATTGGAAAGAGAAACAACACGATTCTCACTTCTGTAACTTGATGGCTTTAAAAAACGAGCAAAGCAAAGTTAAAACCATCAAACTCATATCAATGATATGTGAGCTCCAGTATTTTTGGAGATCTCTTATGAGCAAGCTGTAATGCAAGTTCTATCCTTATTAGGTCTATAATGATTACTTTTAACCGATAATTTTCCTATTCAATCTTACAGTAGCTCTTCGTATTCTTCATTGCTTTTTATATCAGTTTCGTGATTGGTCTCCTAACTATTCAGAGATCTTTTAGTTTTTAAAGGTGAGCGACTAAAAGATTATTTCATAAACATTATGCGTTGACATGTTGTGGATGGAAACTTGCCACTCATGAAGATAACACCCTCTGATTGATAAGTCTGTTTACTTTTAGCATTGCTTTATGGTATATTGTTACATACTTAGACTTTCCCTACAAAAAACGAGCACTGTGATTGGTTAATTCTTGATCGCGTGCCCCTGATCAAATTCAAATGTATTCCGACCGGGATACAATTTTGCAGTTGCTGCCTGCAACAACAGCATGATTTTCCCAAACGATTGTTGAAGGGGTCTAAATATATCACAAAGCACTTGATGTATGGTCCCTCGGGAAAGTAGTTAGTTTTGTTTTCTTGTTGGAATTATTTTTTTTCTTGTTCGAATCTTTTGTTTTCTTGTTGGACTCTTTAGTCTTCTTGTTGGACTCTCTTGTTTTCTTATTGGACTCTTTGTTTTCTTGTTAGACTCTTTTGTTTTCTTGTTGGACTCTCTTGTTTTCTAAACAGACTCTTTTGTTTTCTTGTTGGACTCTCTTGTTTTCTAAACAGACTCTTTTGTTTTCTTGTTGGAGTCTTTTGCTTTCTTGTTGGGGTCTTGTTTTCTTGTTGGACTCTTTTGTTTTCTCGTTGAACCCTTTTGTTCTCTTGTAAGAGTATATTGTTTTCTTGTTGGACTCTTTTTTTTTCTTGTTGGACTCTTGTTTTCTTGTTGGACTCTTTTGTTTTCATGTTGGACTCTTTTGTTTTCTTGTTGGGCTCTTGTTTTCTTGTTGGACCCTTTTGTTCTCTTGTAAGACTCTATGGTTTTCTTGTTGGACCCCATTGTTTTCTTGTTCAACTCTTTTGTTTTCTTGTTAGACTGTCTTGTTATCTTGTTGGACTCTTTTGTTTTCTTGTTGGACTCTTTTGTCTTCATGTTAGACTGTTTTGTTTTTTCCATAGACTCTTTTGTTTTCTTATTGGACTCTTGTTTTCTTGTTGGAATTTTTTGTTTTCTTGTTGGACTCTTTTGTTTTCTTGTTAGACTCTTGTTTTCTTGTTGGACTCTTTTGTCTTCTTGCTAGACTCTTGTTTTCTTGTTGGACTCTTTTGCTTTCTTGTTGGACTCTTTTGTTTTCTTGTTAGACTCTTGTTTTCTTGTTGGACTCTTTTGCTTTCTTGTTGGACTCTTTTGTTTTCTTGTTAGACTCTTCTGTTTTCTTTTTGGACTCTTTTCTTTCCTTGTTCGGCTTTTTTGCTTTCTTGTTGGACGCTTTTGTTTTCGTGTTGGATTCTCTTGCCTTCTTGTAAGACTCTTTTGTTTTCTTCTTGGACTCTTTTGTCTTTTTGCTTCACTCTTGTTTTCTTGTTGGACTCTTTTGTCTTCTTGCTAGACTCTTGTTTTTTTCTTGGACTCTTCTGCTTTCTTTCTGGACTCTTTTGTTTTCTTGTTCGACTTAATTGTTTTCTTGTTCAGCTCTTTTGTGTTCTTGTTGGACTCTCTTGTTTTCTCTTTGGACCCTTTTGCTTTCTTCTTGGACTGTTTTGTTTTCTCGTTCGGCTATTTTGTTTTCTTGCTGGACTCTTTTGTTTTCTTGTTGGACTCTTTTGTTTTCTTGTTGGACTCTTTTGTTTTCTTGTTGGACTCCTTTGCTTCCTTGTTGGACTCTTTTGCTTTCTTGTTGAACTCTTTGGCTTTCATGTTGGACTCTTTTGTTTTCTTGGTTGACTCTTTTGTTTTCTTGTTAGACTCTTCTGTTTTCTTGCTGGACTCTTTTGTTTTTCTTGCTGGACTCTTTTGCTTTCTTGTTGGACTCTTTTGCTTTCTTGTTAGACTCTTTTGTTTTCTTGCTGAACTCTTTTGCTTTCTTGTTGGACTCTTTTGCTTTCTTGTTGGACTCTTTGGTTTCCTTGTTGGACTCTTTTGCTTTCTTATTGGACTCTTTTGTTTTCTTGTTGGACTCTTTTGCTTTCTTATTGGACTCTTTTGCTTTCTTATTGGACTCTTTTGCTTTCTTGTTGGACTCTTTTGGTTTCTTGGTAGGTTCTTTTGCTTTCTTGTTGGACTCTTTTGCTTTCTTGTTGGACTCCTTTGTGTTCTTGTTGGACTCTTTTCTTTCCTTGTTGGACTCCTTTGTGTTCTTGTTGGACTCTTTTGCTTTCTTGTTGGACTCTTTTTCTTTCTGGTCGGACTCTTTTTTTTTCTTGTTGGACTCCTTTGTTTTCTTGTTGGACTCTTTTCTTTCCTTGTTGCACTTTTTTTTTTTGTTGGACTCTTTTTTTTTTGTTAGACTCGTTTGTTTTCTTGTTGGACTCTTTTGCTTTCTTGTTGGACTCTTTTGGTTTCTTTTTGGACTCTTTTGCTTTCTTGTTGGACTCTTTTGCTTTCTTGTTGGACTCTTTTGCTTTCTTGTTGGACTCTTCTGTTTTCTTGTTGGACTCCTTTGTCTTCTTGTTGGACTCTTTTGCTTTCTTATTGGACTCTTTCGCTTTCTTGTTGGACTCCTTTGTTTTCTTGTTGGACTCTTTTCTTTTCTTGTTGGACTCTTTTTTTCTCTTGTTTGACTCGTTTGTGTTCTTGTTGCACTCTTTTGTCTTCTTGTTGGACTCTTGATTTCTTGTTAGACTCGTTTGTCTTCTTGTGGGACTCTTTTTTTTTCTTGTAAGACTCTTCTTTTTGTTAAACTCTTCTGTTTTCTCTTTGGACTTTTTTGTGTTCTTATTAGACTCTTTTGTTTTCTTGTTGGACTCCTTTGTTTTCTTGTTCAACTCTTTCGTTATCTTTTTAGACACTTTTCTTCTTGTTAGACTCTTTTTTTCTTGTTAGACGTTTGTTCTCTTGTTAGACTGTCTTTTTTTCTTGTTAGACTCTTGTTTTCTTGTTGGCCCTTTTTTTTCTTGTTAGACTCGTTTGTCTTCTTGTTCGACTCTTTTCTTTTCTTGTTGGACTCTTTTTTTTCCTTTTTCGGCTCTTTTTTTCTTGTTAGACTCGTTTGTCTTCTTGTTGGACACTTTTGTCTTCTTGTAAGAGTCTTTTTTTTGTCAGAATCTTCTGTTTTCTCGTTGGACTCTTTTGTGTTCTGTTGGATTCTTGTTTTCTTGTTGGACTCCTTTGTTTTCTTGTTCAACTCTTTTGTTTTCTTGTTAGACACTCTTTTCTTCTTGTTAGACTCTTGTTTTCTTGTTAGACTCTTGTTCTCTTGTTAGACCCTCTTGTTTTCTTCTTAAATCTTTTTTTTTCTTGTTGGACTCTTCTTTTCTTGTTGGACTCTTTTTTTTTCCTGTTAGACTCGTTTGTCTTCTTGCTTTTCTTGTTGGACTTTTGTGTTCTTGTTGGTCTCTTGTTTTCTTGTTGGACTCTTTTGTTTTCTTGTTGGACTCTTTCGTTCTCTTGTTGGACTCTTGTTATCTTGTTGGACTCTTTTGCTTTCTTGTTCCATTTTTTTGTTTTATTGTTGAACTCTTTTCTTTTTTTGTTGTTGTTAGACTCGTTTGTCTTCTTGTTAGACTTTTTTGTCTTCTTTTTCGGCTCTTGTTTTCTTGTTAGACTCGTTTGTCTTCTTGTTGGACACTTTTGTCTTCTTGTAAGACTCTTTTTTTTTTGTTAGACTCTTCTGTTTTCTCGTTGGACTCTTTTGTGTTTTTGTTGGACTTATTTGTTCTCTTATTGGACTCTTTTGTCTTCTTGTTCGGCTCTTTTGTCTTCTTGTTGGACTCTTTTGTTTTATTGTTGGACTCTTTTGCTTTCTTGTTGGACTCTTTTGTTTTCTTGTTGGACTCTTTTGTTTTCTTGTTGGACTCTTCTTTTCCTGTTGGAATCTTTTGTTTTCTTGTTGGACTCTTTTGTTTTCTGGTTGGAATCTCGGGAAAACAACTAAATGTTTCCCTCAGGACCATACATTAAGTGTACATTGATATTGTAAGGAGAAACTACATGTTCATCACTTCTGAGATGATGGAATCTTAGAAGATCCCGTGTGTTATTTGATAAATCTTATAAGCAACTTGGAAACAATTTTCCTCCCATCTTAGGTCTGTTTTCTATTTTGATGATTTTTTCTCAATAACCGTGCGAGTAAAACGTTATTACACCAGCTATTTCCATTTACGTTTGTTTTTCTGGGAAAGTCTCATTTCATTTCATTTTCTTAATTTTGTTTTCATTAGTCACGCTTTAAGGCACCATAGTAAAAGGCATCTTCTGTTTCCAAGAGGTGAGCTGTTCGTTTTTTTTTTAATTTCTGCATTTTTATTGCTTCCTCGGTTTCATTTTCCATGAATCAAATTGACTTTACTATTTTACGAAACAAAAAGTTTGGAGAAATTGACTTTACTATTTTATGAAACAAAAAATTTGGAGAAATTGGTATATGACTTACTGAAATAACGCGTATGTAGCTGAATGAAATAGAAATATTTTCCTTCGTCTGAGAAACAAAGCATCATGTAAGCGGTTGAAACGTTGGGTCGAATTTGTCTCAAATTAATTATGCGAGTTCCTAAGACTGACATGCCGGCTTGATCGCCATGGGACAAACGGTTAGAAATATCAACACAACTCTTGAACAAATATCCTCATCTAGGCTCAACTGAACAGTTCTATACTTCGTTTAATTGTAGAATGTGATTTTTTTTCTTGGATTTATGTCCATCAAATTTTTCCACCACGCAACGAAACTAGATCTACGTCATACACAGGTGGCCAAGCTCCAGCTGTGAGATGAACATCTTGCGCAATAACTGTCAAGGCGGAATTATTAGACCGCTTCCTTTAATGAAAAGAACCCATTTTAGCGAGTTGTCAATTTTGAGGTTTTTTCTTATGTAAGTATAAGACCTCGAAATGGACAACTCGCTAAAATGGGTTCTTTTTATCAAAGTAAGCGGTCAGATTACAAGTGATGCGCTGTGGAAGTAAGGTGAAGTGGTTTTATCGAGAATTTGACGTATTTTTTAATTCCTTAGAGCGGTCGTAAATATTCCCATACAAACTCTTAAAATTCCGCCATGACCGTCTGTTATTGCGCAAGATGATCATCTCACAGCTGGAGCTTGGGGCTGCATGTGCGTTACGTAGATGGATATCTCCGGATCGATTCAAGATATGTTGATTTGCCTCGATTTTGAAACAAATAACAATGAAAATCAGAGCTTAGTTAGTCCCTGGTTTTTGAAGGGCAGCAGAGTGAGGATCCTGATCGTGTTTCACGTATGAACTTCTTGGAAAATTCCCGCGTCATGTTTAAAAACTCGAACATTTATCAGTGTTACTTTTTAAGCTTCCCTTTTTGGTTGATTCTTTCTCACGACAAAAAACAGGAGAGCCGTTATGAGTGACGCTACAGAAATCCTAAAATCAGTCCAGATAGGTTTAAATGTCGTCATATTTCTTCTGAACACTGATCGAGGCCTACAAGCGACTGAGTTATGCAATGAATGTGTGATTCTACTTCAAAACCTTGACTCTGGTAGTCACCTTGATACCTCCGATGTACTATTCAATGCGTACTATGCCATCTCTGGTTACACGGATGCGAGAAGACATGCCACCAAACTTCTTGACACATTTAACCAGGCTTGGAGACTAAACATAGAACTAGGGGACAAATATGAAGCACAAAGCCGGTTTGTAGAGGCAAAGCAACTCTTTAAATGCGCACTCACCATCTTGAAAACAACAGGTCACAGAAGAAAAGAAGCACAGACTAATGCGAGACTTGGAAATGTCTATAATAGCCTCAGTAAATATCAGAATGCTAAAGAATATCACGAGAAAGCTCTTGCCATCACTATAGAAATTGGCGATAGACGAGGAGAAGGAAGAACATACGGGAACCTCGGAAATGTGTTTCATTCCCTTGGCGAATATCAGAATGCTAAAGAATATCACGAGAAAGCACTTGCCATCGCGATAGAAATTGGCGACAGACGAGGAGAAGGAAGAAGATACGGGAACCTCGGAAATGTGTTTGATTCCCTTGGCGAATATCAGAATGCTAAAGAATATCACGAGAAAGCACTTGCCATCGCGATAGAAATTGGCGACAGAGAAGTAGAAGGAACAGCTTACGGGAACCTCGGAAATGTGTATCATTCCCTTGGCGAATATCAGAATGCTAAAGAATATCACGAGAAAGCACTTGCCATCGCGATAGAAATTGGCGACAGAGAATTAGAAGGAACAACATACGGGAACCTCGGATATGTGTTTCATTCCCTTGGCGAATATCAGAATGCTAAAGAATATCACGAGAAAGCACTTGCCATCGCGATAGAAATTGGCGACAGAGCAGTAGAAGGAACAACATACGGGAACCTCGGAAATGTGTTTCATTCCCTGGCGACAGAGAAGTAGAAGGAACAACATACGGGAACCTCGGAAATGTGTTTCATTCCCTTGGCGAATATCAGAATGCTAAAGAATATCACGAGAAAGCACTTGCCATCGCGATAGAAATTGGCGACAGACGAGGAGAAGGAAGAACATACGGGAACCTCGGAAATGTGTTTCATTCCCTTGGCGAATATCAGAATGCTAAAGAATATCACGAGAAAGCACTTGCCATCGCGATAGAAATTGGCGACAGACGAGGAGAAGGAACAACATACGGGAACCTCGGAAATGTGTTTCATTCCCTTGGCGAATATCAGAATGCTAAAGAATATCACGAGAAAGCACTTGCCATCGTGATAGAAATTGGCGACAGAGAAGGAGAAGGAATAGCATACGGGAACCTCGGAAATGTGTTTGATTCCCTTGGCGAATATCAGAATGCTAAAGAATATCACGAGAAAGCACTTGCCATCGCGATAGAAATTGGCGACAGACGAGGAGAAGGAAGAAGATACGGGAACCTCGGAAATGTGTTTCATTCCCTTGGCGAATATCAGAATGCTAAAGAATATTACGAGAAAGCACTTGCCATCGCGATAGAAATTGGCGACAGACGAGGAGAAGGAACAACATACGGGAACCTCGGAAATGTGTTTCATTCCCTTGGCGAATATCAGAATGCTAAAGAATATCACGAGAAAGCACTTGCCATCGCGATAGAAATTGGCGACAGACGAGGAGAAGGAAGAAGATACGGGAACCTCGGAAATGTGTTTCATTCCCTTGGCGAATATCAGAATGCTAAAGAATATGACGAGAAAGCACTTGCCATCGCGATAGAAATTGGCGACAGAGAAGTAGAAGGAACAACATACGGGAACCTCGGAAATGTGTTTCATTCCCTTGGCGAATATCAGAATGCTAAAGAATATCACGAGAAAGCACTTGCCATCGCGATAGAAATTGGCGACAGAGCAGTAGAAGGAACAACATACGGGAACCTCGGAAATGTGTTTCATTCCCTTGGCGAATATCAGAATGCTAAAGAATATCACGAGAAAGCACTTGCCATCGCGATAGAAATTGGCGACAGACGAGGAGAAGGAAGAAGATACGGGAACCTCGGAAATGTGTTTCATTCCCTTGGCGAATATCAGAATGCTAAAGAATATTACGAGAAAGCACTTGCCATCGCGATAGAAATTGGCGACAGAGAAGTAGAAGGAACAGCTTACGGGAACCTCGGAAATGTGTTTCATTCCCTTGGCGAATATCAGAATGCTAAAGAATATCACGAGAAAGCACTTGCCATCGCGATAGAAATTGGCGACAGACGAGGAGAAGGAAGAAGATACGGGAACCTCGGAAATGTGTTTCATTCCCTTGGCGAATATCAGAATGCTAAAGAATATCACGAGAAAGCACTTGCCATCGCGATAGAAATTGGCGACAGACGAGGAGAAGGAAGAAGATACGGGAACCTCGGAAATGTGTTTCATTCCCTTAGCGAATATCAGAATGCTAAAGAATATTACGAGAAAGCACTTGCCATCGCGATAGAAATTGGCGACAGAGAAGTAGAAGGAACAGCATACGGGAACCTCGGAAATGTGTTTCATTCCCTTGGCGAATATCAGAATGCTAAAGAATATTACGAGAAAGCACTTGCCATCGCGATAGAAATTGGCGACAGAAGAAAAGAAGGCGCAGCATACTTAAATCTTGGAGCGGTGTACAGCAATCTTAATAAAAATCGGAAAGCTGAAGAACATTTTGACAAAGCAGTCGGCGTCAGTATTGCAATTGGTAACAGAGAAATTGAAGCCACCGCTTTTGCAGGTTTGTCACGTGTCTCGGATTCTGTAAATGACAGTCAGAAGGCAAAAGAACATTGTGAGAAGGCGCTTACAATCAGCAGAGAATGTGGCAATAGAATGTGCGAAGCACAACTATACCTACTCGTTGGACGTCTATCTCAATCGTTTGGTGAATATGATAAGGCAGCATATTATTTACAGAAAGCTTGCTCCATAAGCAGCCAAATTGGAGACAAAATGATTGAATTTCAAAGTCTTCTCTCTATTACAATGTTAAAGATATCGCAGTCAGAGGTTGTGGAGGCAATGGAATATCTTCTCCAAGGTATTGAAAAATATGAACAAATCAGAACTCTTCAGAAAGGAAACAGTGGATTTGAAATTTCTCTGCTGGAGCAACGTGGTACTCTTCCCTACAAGTTACTCACTCAACTCCTTTGCGATAAGGGAAAATCTCGAGATGCTCTCTATGTTGAGGAGCTGGGACGAGCAAGAGTCCTCGCAGAACTCATGGCAGACAAGTACTCCGCTGAAAGCTACATCTCAGCTAATCCACGATCATGGTTCGGGATTGAAAACATCGCGAGAAGAGAAAGTAACTGTGTGTTTTTGTACATTTCGTATGAAGATCGGCAAGTTCTTCTCTGGGTATTGAAAACAAATGGAGACATTTTCTTTCGAAAAACAGACGAAGTGAAAATAGACACTCTTATTGCTGAGCAAGTTTGCGAAGTGGAAGGAGTTTTCAAAAAGGGTGCCAAATGCTTTGGTGTTTTACCTGCAGCGAACTGCGAAGACCGATCGCTGGATGACAACGCGACGACATCTCTTCATGAAGAGAGCCAAGCAAATTTGCGTGGTGACGGAACCAAAGATAACGGAAGAACTCATCATTTGTGCTACAAATGGATCGTCACACCTGTGAAAGATTTGCTTACAGAGCCCGAAATCATCATTGTACCGGATCGTTTTTCGTACCGAGTCCCATTTGCTGCCTTGCGTGATGAACAAACCGGAAAGTATTTATCGGAGAAGTACAGAATACGCATCATCCCTTCACTGACAACTCTCCGGCTCATTCAAGAATGTCCAGCAGACTACCACAGTCAAACTGGCGGACTGGTTGTGGGTGATCCTACGGTTGGCAAAGTACAATACAATGGACGTGTCATTGACATTACACCATTGTTCTGTGCAAGTAAGGAAGCGGAGATGGTTGGTCAACTACTGGGTGTTCAGCCTTTATTAGGAAGTCGCGCAACAAAGCAGGCGGTTCTTCAAGCGATACCTTCAGTGAGTCTGATACATCTTGCCGCCCATGGAAATGCCGAAAGAGGAGAGATTGCCCTCTCTCCTCAATGTACTACTAACAGTACTCCACAAGAGGAAGACTACCTCCTGACAGTGTCCGACATTGAAGGAGTTCAAGTGCGAGCTAAACTGGTAGTACTCAGCTGTTGTCACAGTGGGCGTGGATTGATTAAAAAAGAAGGAGTTATTGGAATCGCTCGAGCATTCTTAGCATCTGGTGCACGTTCAGTGTTGGTAGCATCGTGGGCTATAGAAGACAAAGCAACGGCAAAGCTCATGGAACATTTTTATAAACACCTCGTACGTGGAGAAAGTGCCAGTGAATCTCTTCACCAGGCCGTTCAATGGTTGAGAAGCAATGGATTCTCCAAACCTTCCCAATGGGCTCCGTTTGTGTTGATGGGGGATAACGTGACATTTGATTTTATGAAAAAAGGGTAAGTCTGATTAGAATGGGCAATTTTCTACGATAAACCAATTAGCACATTTAACTTGTTCAGTTCACTCAGTTGTCCTAATTTTGTTGTTTGTTTTTGTCTTTGTCTTTCATCCATAAAATGCCAATAAAAGAAATTGTTTTAACTAGTGCTCGGAGCCAGAATATTTCCAGGGAAGGCTTTCTAAAATTGGCTTTGAATTAGCGTTTCTTTTGTATGCAATATACTCAGAAATAATTATTCAAGGTTGATACCATACCACACGTTATGACTATGAAGGTAACTTGAGAAGCTGAAAAAGTTCACTTTATCTGTAAAAAATCAACAAAAATAACAATAAATTGACGATCTTAAAGTCACTTTCGTATCAAGCATGGTATGTTCGACAAGTTTGGATAATCATACCCAATGGCATTGAAGAAGAAAGTAATTTCTTCAATTGTAAAATCTGTTACGTTTACTTTAAAGATGAAATAGTGACAAATTTATAATATTTTTTTCAGGAAAGAAGAATTCGAGGAGGACAACAACGAGGCGGAGAAGAAACAGAGTGACTACTGATCCTACACAAAGATTTTTCGTCCTAAACATTGTCGTTCAATGAACACTCGTATTACTTTGCGCAGACATTTTAATTTTTTTGATTTAGTCAAGTAGTAGATTTTGCGTGCTTTTGTAGACATGGCTTAATCGAAAGGCAGCGACGATGAAACCTGCAATTAAGTCGTTTGATCTCTTAAGTATGCTATCAATAGGGAACTACAATAAATTTGGATGGGAAAACTGAACGCAGGAAATAGGCTCAATTTATAAAAATGTGAGAATGTTAGCAAAGCTTCGTCAAAACTCAAAATTAATCCTTGATTTAAATCATTATAATTTTTCAATTCTACCGTTTAACGCACACGTGATCATTAAAGAGTGATTAAGACTGTTCACAGGTGCAGGAAATGATAACATAACAAACTAACAGAGGAGGGAACAAAAAGTGCCGAGATACTGAAGATAAAATCCAAAACAAGAGAGAAGGTAATTATGTAAAAATCAGACAGAGAAGAGAAAAATGCATGAGAATTACCGCAAAAATCAAACAGCTTGAGAACAGGGCGCTACATATTAATCTAAAAGTTAAGTGGAGAAGAGAAGAAACAGAGTGCAATATACTAAAAGGAAAGTATTAACAAATAGCAAAGAAGAGAAACAATGAGCGAATTACTGAGATAAAATTAGGAGAAAACATTGCGCGAGTTACTAACGTCAAACAGAAGAGTGCAAACAGTTCGTAGGATATGAACGTGACAATCAGCCAGAATTAACCCTTTCACTCCCAAGATCTCATTAGTAATTCTCCCTATTGTCTGCCATAAAATACTTATGATTTCAATTTGGAGAATTTTGCATTGGATCAATTTTTAGTCCCCTTAATGAGTTTTCTTCTTTATTCTCCTCACCTGTCTGCTCGATTCTGTGTCGATATTGTGAAGAGAAATTCTGTCTTGGTCACTCATGGGAGTTAAAGGCTTAAGGAGAAGAACAGAGGGCTCGATTCTAATATAGGAAAAGAATTAAAGTTGAAGCAAACAGTAAGGTAGATATTAGCTTGGAAATCAAACAGAGACGAGAAAAGCATTGTGCAAGATTTGAATGAAATATTTAATCAGAGGAGAGACCGAGCCACGCGGAAGATTCAACTGAACAAAACTACCAAACAGGGCAATGAAAAGAAAACAGTGCTCAATATAATCGCAACAAACAAGGTAAAAAGAAGAAACAGTGGACTGGACAAACAGTAAAATCATAGGCATGCAATGCATGCTAGAGTTATTTCTTCGGCTGGGTGAGTTGAGGTGTGACTCTGTACAATCAGGTCGAAACATGAGACTGAACTGGAAAACTTTTTTCTTCAAATTTTCAACGTGTTTACTTTTATATGTTAATAATAGGATAAGTCGCGGAGAGTCAATTAGAAACTTATTTTACAGCAAAATTTTAACATATTTAGCTTGATACATTAATACTAGGAAAAGATTTCAGATTTCAGTGAGCCAATCGATGGCTCAGCCTACCAGGAAGTCAACAGTACACTGGGAAAAGAAGTCATGTTATAGAAATAGAAATGGAGATAGAAATGGATCTAGTATTTCCACTCAAACCGATAAGGAAAAGAAATAATGCCAAAGTTTGATGTTTTAGTGGATCATGTTGTGCTTGGATTTCAATAGGCTGAATCAGGAATTTTAGCAAGTTGGAAAGCGTCCTTGATTGTATTTGAGGTTTTGTTTCATCGTAACTGAAGTTGAAATGAGGATGATAAAGACATGCTTGATAATACACACGGATCTTTTTGCTGCGAAGCATTTTAAACACCTGCCCCGGTTGTTCAAAGGATTGATAACTTCTTATCCGCTGAATAAATCGCTATCCAGCGGATAAATTTTACCCATGGCGTCATATCGGTTGTTCAAAGTATGGATGGCGCTATCCACTTCCTCCCTAGTGGATAAATCTATCCATCATTTGAACAACCGGGGCTTGCTGGCATTTACAGAGCTACGCTAAAGAAAGCTGAATGAGGACTTTGACTAATGGCCAAACCGCAGCGTATTTTATAGGCCACATAGATGAGATTCGGTAGCATATATTTTCAATGTAAAGTAATAAACCATTACTGGAAAATTAAAGCACTAGGTCAAAATAGAACGCACATTTGAGAGTAAGCACATCTTCTTTATTTTTCGGTTTGTATTTTGGATTCGTTGCGATTAACTATGGTGAAAAATATGTCCTGTATCCTCTAGTAGGGAAATTTTTCTGAGTATCAAAAATGCAAACCAAGCTACATGAAGGGCGCTTATATTTGATCGGTCGAGAGGTTATGGGGAAGAAAAGAACCCAGTGCTGACCGGGATTTGACACTCTGGTAAAAATTCCTCAGTCGAAGGGAGCCAATGGGAGCGCAAAATTGTCGGCACTTTGCGCGGGACCGAGTCGTGACTGGCTTTGATGCCGCATTTGATTGGTTGAAAGGTTCGCCCGAGTATTCCAGGCCAATACAGCGCGAGGCAAAGCAGAACCTTTGCAATCATTGATTCCAACCTATTACAATTCCCGCTCCGCTACGTCCCAGGTTCATACTGCTAACCAACTTCCAGAAATCTTGTTCAGGGACGTATTCCTCAAGAGTGTTCAAAAACCCTTCTCCATCATAACCTCCGACTACATAAAGTTTCCCGCACAAAACAGCCGCACTAAGTGCAATTCTCCTGTGTATCAGAGGCGAAACAGTTATCCATATATCCGAGGCTGGGCTATAGCTTTCAACACTATTTAATTGTGTTTCGCCGTCATATCCACCGATGGTATACACAAAGCCATTCAACGAGGTTGATCCTGCGCCACTACGATGCTCGACCAGCGGAGACACTAATTTCCACAGATCAGTATCCACGTCATAACATTCAACACTGAAATGAAATTCAGAAAAACATGTCCCTTGTAGATATGAACGGGGGGGGGGGGGGGAGGGGGGGTTGATTAAGGGGAAGAAAACATCATCATCATCAATCTTTATTTATACACGAAATCATATCATTTTACATGGTCTTCCTAGGAATCGTGTTTAAATTATACTAAAATACTTTAAGAACTATTGACTATAATGTTAAACATACAAAAACAAAAGAAAAACTTATATCATGAGTAACAAGGAACTATTTGCTATAATATTAAAAATACAAAAACTCATATCATGAATAATAAGAGTTACAATGGTGTATCAGAGAAATCTTTCCTATGAAACGAAGTTTTAAAAACATTCAAACTAGGCAGTTTTTTAATCTCAGAAGGAATCCTATTCCACAGAACAGATCCTCTGTAGTGTAGGCTCCCTTTTGCAGACTCAGTTCTGGGTCTGGGGACATAATAATTTAGCTCAGAATTTCTAAGATTGTGTGAGTGTACATTTGAGGTGTTGGTAAAGATCCGCCTCAGATACGATGGGGAAAGATTATTATGTATTTTATACATTGTACATCTTCCAGCAAAGGAGCTCTACAGCAACATCTTAGTAAGTCTAGCTTTGAGCATATCCGGATTTAAATTTTCTACAAATAATATGGATGGTAATTATCATCACATTAGAGGGTGGTAGAGAACTACCATCAATTTGAAATCACAGCAAGGCAACGAACTAGACTTTACGCTAACAGAGCTTTTAACCATTACACCTGTCAACTCATGAGAGCGTATATAAAGAGATCTTTGGAATTACAGCGAAGCCACAAACGTGACTCTCGAATAACAGAGCTTTCAACCAATACACCTGTCCACTCACGAGAGTGTGTGTAAAGATATCTTTGACAACATTTGGTTTTAATCCTCAAAAAAGGAAACACGCACGACTTTAGCATTGTGCAGAAGAATTAGTTATTATTAATATTGCTTATATGAAGCGAATCCTGGGTTCTAATTTGCCACCTGGGCGACTTCGTCAAACCAGAAAAACGCAAAGAAAAAGAACTTGGCCAATTTCTAGCCATCTAGACCGATCAAGCCTGGTCAATAACGCATAGATATCAACATTCCTATCTTAGTTTGTAGTATGCAGGAAGTCTATCATCAAGGACCTTGTTGAACTGCCTACCACAAATCTCCTACAATTCACTGAGTGGTAGGGCGTATGGAGTGCTGATCTCCAGGTTGCATTATCGACTCTTATTAGGAACATTATAGCATGCTAGTGTCATTCACTGGATGAAAACATCTTACACAAAAGCGAAGGTTTACTTTGCGCTTACTTCGTGAAAAACAACATCACACTAAAACAACTCTTAACCTTCTCCTCCTGAGCCTGTCTTCCATCAAATCCTCCTGCGACAGACAGCTTTCTATCAAGTAGCAACAGCTACGCCTAGCGAAAAAAATGCAAAAAATATAAAAAAACAGCATCCGTTACAGAACTTGCAATCTCCTTGGCCAAAATGGTCAAAGTTTTTTCAAGCCGTCCTAGTTCCAAACTTGATTTATCATTGTCTCTTTTGTGCTTTTCTATCTTACTAAACTAATGTTTTGTAGTCATTTACAATCGTTATCAATCTTCTCCATCTCCTGTTACTCTTTTTCCTTTCCGGTTCCTTATCGCCTTTTTTGTGTTTTTCTATCTTACTAAACTAATATTTCAAAGTCATTTACAATTTGCGTCGATCTACTCCATCCTTGGCCATACTGGCTTGTATTTGGTTTATCATTCCCTATTTTTTTTTTCTACATTACTAAGCACATTTCGGTATTTTTGAGCCAAATTTAGTTTTTCATTGCACAAAAAGCAGCTCAAAAACTTGACCCAAAAAGGAAAGGACTGAGAGAAAGAAAATTTCAATAATATGGTGACTGAATTCAACAAAAATATTGCTTAACAGCCGTGACAACATTTTTTTAACAGGTCCCCTTTTTTTATTTTATTCAAAGTTGCCAAACAACAAACTAACAACAATAAAAATGGTAATTACCAGACAAACGGTCACCAGAAAAAAGTAAAAATAAAACTCTGATAGTGATGTATG